GTACAAAAATATATTTTTATATTAAAAATACAAGCAATACCTATTAATAGTAAAATGACCAGCAATTGATTTTTATAGTCAAAATACCAGTAATAGATTTTATAGTCAAAATACCAGTAATAGATTTTTACAATCAAAAAAGAATAGATCTTTATAGTCAAAATACCAGCAGCACCTATTTATAGTAAAATGACCAGCAGTACATTTTATCTGTAGTTGAAAGCATTCAAAATATTTTGATTTCGGCATTAAATGACCCATACAGGTGTCGATATGTCGCTAAACAAAATAAACAAACCAACCAAGCAGCCAGCTAAAGGTTCCTTTTTAAAAAGCCTGGAAGAAAACTACCCACCCCACAAAAAAAAATAACCCGAAAAGACAATAGGTTATTAATCTTTCAGACCACTTGGTGAGTTTTGGGACATTCCATATATACTGTAGAAAGTGTCCCCCCCACGCTTAGAGCGACGACTAGTTACATCGATGGCGAGTTTTATTCTTACAAAATCTTTGACAAAATCAAACTGAATAAATATAAGTTAATTTATGGAAGGAGTAATTGCTTACAGAAGAAGTAAATGGATCCGTGACTGGGGTAAGTAAAGATTTTACGTGAAGCTTAAATTGAGACGAACGTCAAAAAAAAAAAAAAAAAAAAAGTGGGGGGAGTGGAGATTAAGATATGCGTCGGAAAGAGGAGAAGGGTGAATTTTAAATAATCGTCTGTGAAAATTGCGATTAACGTTATTGAAGCTTTTCACGGCGATGGCAACGACAATTTCAATAAAGGCAATTATCGCTGACAAAGTTTTACAAGTTTAAAAAAAAAAAGAACACTGTCTAAATTAAATAAAAATTTGGTCTTTTATTTGTTTTCGTTTTAATTAATCTCAGTAAAGAATCTTTACCATTTTTCTTGTATTATTATCATTATTATTTTATTTCCATTAATTTCTGGTGTGTGCTCATTTCTTTACGGGTCCCGACCAGAGACCAAAGATCAGAAATGGTATCATGACATTTTCCACTGAGCAATTAAAAAAAAAAAGAAGAAAAAAAAGGAACATATTTTGCATAGATAATTCACTTCGTAAGGTGTGGCCAGTACCCGTGAGAACATTTTTTTGTATTTCTTTAAGACATGCACTACCAGGAATCCCTTCAATGAGTCTATTGGAATATATTCCAATCAATCCGAGGATTCCGACTACAACAAGAATTATTGATGTTCTCATATGCCACATTTGTGAGATTTCGATTTCAAGGTCTTTGTATTTTGATAGCTTTTTGGAGATCTTCAAAGATACATTGAAGTCTGCAGGGACTGTTATATCAATAAGGAGACACCTTTTTTTCTGTTTGCACTCTCTAATACCGATGTCTAGGCGATTAGCTTTGTATTCATCGTAAAATGCCATAAAATTGTTACAGGTCCTATTTCTGTAACTGGGTCTGGATGGAGTACATACCAATTCAGTTTTCTTTCCGTAGAAGTTGCAGATTTTCCGATGCAAATATTGGCCAAATCTATCGTGTCATGTTTTATATTCAGTGGATGCCAATACCGTGCAACCTGCTAGAAGATGATCAATTGTTTCTGGATATTTATCACAGAATCTGCATTTTGAGCTAACACAATTTTTCAGTATGTGTGCTTGATAATTTCTAGTTAACAAGCATTGGTCCTGTGCAGCAAAAATAAAACCTTCGGTTTCAGTTTTTAATCCCGCACTACATAGACACTGATGGGTACGAGGTTTGTCTACATCAGCTTTTTTTTGGTTGGGGTACGGGCAGAGTAATGACCATGAAGCGGTTTATCTTACTATTGTTTCCCTATCTGGTCGGTTGCATTTGCTTTTGCTTTCTTTTGCAGCTTCAGTCGGTGTATTGGGCTTTACATGCATATTATTATTATTATTATTATTACTATTATTTCTCTGGCTTTCTATTGTATACACATTTCCTTCCAGGTCGGTCCCAAAGGTCAAAAATAGCTTCATGATATCTTCCACTGATCATTTTTTTTGTAAAAAAGAAAAACAGGTCCGAAAAACTTAAGATCACACATTTTACATAGACAAAACTCTTCGTAATGTGTGAGCCGTATCTGTGAGTATAATTTTTTTGTATTTCTTTAAGGCCTCGGCTGCCAGGAATCTCTTCAGTTAATCTATAGGTACCTTTTCCAATAAGTCCGTGGGCTCCAACTACTACACGTTATCTAGGATAAATAAAACCTTGATTTTGACCGTCCACTGTCTGGCGGCCATATCCAAACACGGAAAAGGCTATGAAAGCAAATACAGATAGAAAAACCGGTGTGGATGCTCAAAAGCAGTCAACACTGACAAGTTTCTGTCTCCCTCTGCATCCAGACCCAAATGCAATACCCTGTACTCCTTTGAATCTTGCCGGCACAGGCATCTACCCGAAAAAGCTGGTTATGAGGCGCCAGTTAAATTATTAGGTTGGTGTAAAAATAATCACGTAATAAAGTCGTTTTTTGACGTTAAAAAATACGTCAAAAAACGACATTATTACGTCATTATTTTTGCACCAACCTAATAATATTAATGATATTGATAAACTCTTAGATTCAGAGAAAATTTCATGATACCTAAAGCTGCTCATGGGGCATGTGGTCTGGGCAGTGTACGGTCTCCAGGGCCCGCGACTTGGAGAGGACACTCTTATCTCACCAACAAACGACAGAATTTTGACCAAAGAAGGCGCTACCTGTTTATTTAGTAGTAGGTATCCGATTATCTTGCAATATAAACGGATGCTTACTACTACTGCTACTACTACTACTACTTTATTATTATTATTATTATTATTATTATTATTATTATTGTTGTTGTTTTTATTTCATTTGATTTTTGTTAGATACACATTTCCTTCCGGGTCCCAACCAGAGATCTAATATCAGAAATGGCTTCATGACACCTTCCACTGATCATTTTTTTGTAAAAAAAAACTAACGAAAGAAAACCAATCTAAGATCATACACATTTTACATAAAGCCCTTCGTAATGTGTGATCGGTACTTGTGAGTACATTTTTATTTATTTCTTTAAGACATCGGCTACCAGGAATTCCTTTATTTAATCTATCAGAACGTTTTCCAATCAATCACCAACTAGAACTGGAATTATTAATGTCCTCATGTGCCACATTTTTTAGATTTCCATCTCAAGATCGTTGTATCTTGATAGTTATTTAAAAGATCTCCAAAGATACATTAAAATCTGCAAGGACATCCATGTCAATAAGAAAGCACATACGATGTCTGGACGATTAGCTTGTTCTGTCTGGGTGTATTATTATTACAGTGTAACCCGGATATAAGAGAGTTGTCGGGACCGGAGAAGAAGTCTCTTATATCCGGGTTTCTCTTATATCCGGGTTTGGTCGATTTTGTTTAGGTAAGTATGGGCTCTAATTTGGGACCAGAGAAAATCTCTCTTATATCCGGGTTTCTCTTATATCAGGGTCTCTTATATTCGGGTTACACTGTATTATTATTATTATTATTATTATTATTATTTCCTTTGATTTCTGTTGTATTCTCATTTCCATCCGGGTCCCAACTAGAAACCTAGGTTGTGAAATTGCATAGCGGCTCGGTTTGAGAGTAGAAAAAAATCAATGATAATCATAAAGTTATTCTTTTTATTTCCTCTTGCCATTTGTTATCTTGATTTCTTTTAATATTTGTAAATAATATAAATAATGATAACTTATAATCCCAGAAATTAAGACAAATAAAATAATGATTTACTCAGATATCTAGGATATTGTGTAAATGAAACATTTTTCTCCGGCTTACATCTTATAGATTTATCAATAACTAAACTGCCCGTGACTCGGGGCACTGACGGTTCTGGTTATAAAACGTTTAAGTTGATTTCAACATACCATTGAAATGAAAGTTAATTTTATTATGATTCAGTTAAATATTTCAATTCGTTCGTGTCATCATTGGTCTGATTTACAAGTTCATGTTTAAAGTTTTACTGATTGTTTGCAACATTTACTAGGAATAGAACTTCCGGGATAAACTTGGACTTTAAATCAGATTAAATTAAAAATATTTTTTAATATGCAAAAATATGTTTTTAAATCATATTCACTTGAAAATATTTTTTAAATATGGCAAAAAATATTTTCTTAAATATTTCAAATATTGTTTGTTTAAAGAAAACTGAAATTTAATTAATTATTTGTGTCTGTTTTTAACTTTAAAATATTTTAATTTTAATTTTATAAATATATATTTTATTAACTTTAAAATATTTTAATTAAAAAAAAAGTGTCTCTTTGAAGAAAGTTAAAATAAAAATACTTACTGTATAAACAACTCGTATTTTTAAATCTTATTTACTCAAAATAATTTTAAAATCAGATTAACCTAAAAATATTTTCTAAATATGGCAAAAATATTTTTTAAATATTTCAAATATTGTTTGTTTAAAGAAAGCTGAAATATAAATAATTACTCTAGACGAAACGAAACTGGACGAAACGGCAAAGCGGGATCTCTTTGTGTCTGTCTTTAACGTAAAAATATTTGGATTAAAAAAATTGTATACTTGAAGATAAAATAAATAAACGCTATGGTTGATTGTGTTCCTTATTTTTTATATGATAAAAAATTACATTTTTTATTCATCCTTGCATTTTATTCATCATCATAAAACCTTTTATGCAAAGTAAGAAACTACGGAATTTTCGGTAAGTACACATTTATAAGTCTACCACTAGTCCATGGATTGAATATTACCATCACATCTGCTACCTTTGCTATGTATTTAAAGATGCTTAATAAAATCCAAAGAAAAATCTGCAATATTATTGGTGCTGACCTGGCATTTCAGTTTCAGTCACCTTCTCACTGCCGCAATGTAGTTTTCCTGTGCCTTTTCTTTAAATACTTGCATGCTAATTTTTCTGATGAACTTTCCTCTTCGGTACATTGAATCTCTCTATCTCAG